CTCTGGCTACATGCTAGTGCATTCAGAAGGGCTTTTACTAGAAGAATGCATTTCAAAGAGAAATATTTAAAGTATTTTATCCACAGCCAAAAAAGAAGGCTACATGCTAACAGAAAGCAATCTAGTTGCAAACTAGCAGGACAGTTTCATATTAATGTACAAAAAATTAGGGGAAATTCAAGCCCTAACTCACTGATGAGCAAAGGCTCATCTCTGCTGAAGGGTCCAGGAGAACTAACACATTATAAAAGATAGCAGGAAAGCACTTTCCCTCAAAATCCCTTCATATTTTTCACTCTCTCCCAAAAATTCTACATGCACACAAAGATACCACAAAGATATCTTTCAGGTTCTCCTCATTCCTCTTGACTCCTACTCCCTCTGATGCTCTTCCTCTACACAGGATCTCCCACTCCTTTCAGGGGGTTCCTTGCACTCTTCTGGCATGAAGGATTTCACCTCTCAGGCCTTCTGCAGTTTTGCATTGCCACAGATTAGCCTGAAAGACCTCAGGGTGGAACACAAAGACTCTTTCCTCTCAACAGATAGGAAAATATAGCATATATTTTTACTAATTCTTTGTGATAAAGAAAGTATCTCATTCCCAGTCTTATTATGAACAGTAGTCCTTTTTAATGCATTCTTTAATTATGAATAAATTAATCCAAGATTTCCTGTGAACCCTGTCATAGGAGACTATATTACATTATTCAGACATGATGTAGATGGAGCCAGCTCACCCTAAACACAGCTCAAAATACCAATAAGAAAATAAGCACTGACATAAACCCTGATGTCACAGACACAGGGCTTGATGTACCCAATGCAAGAGAAAAAGAAGACAAAACCAAGAAAAGGCAGCAAATATTAGGATCTATCTCCCAATTCTGGTTTGTCCACATAAAGCACAAGAATCTTGACTATAAAACCATATTTTAGCAATATCTGGAGAACTGCTTAAAGCATTTTAAGGGAAGACAAGAATGAAAAATAGCCACAGTAAAAAAAAAAATAATAACAATACTTATGGTTCAGTTAACCATTTCTCAGTACCTTCATTTGGAAAACAGTGAAAATCCTATGCAGTTGTGGCTGTCATGGTGTGAAGTGATAAATACAATTAATAAGAGTTTAAATTATAGGTTACAGATTAGTAAAAAACATAGATTATAGCTATAAGATTTTGATAAGTGAGATAAGGCAATTATAAAGCAAGAACTGTCATAGGCCTAAGACACTATTTTGCTGCCTTCTATAAAAACTGTTACAAGATTTGTTTCTGAGAAACTGAAATGAAAGTTGTTTTCATATAATATATTGTTTTCTGTACTTTGTACCCCACAAAATGTACTCAACCCAGGATATGGTGGTCTTGGTGACCCAAGACTTTGAAGTAGATTTTCACCCTCACTAACCGACCAAACTCAGGATACGGTTGTCTAACGCCTGCTCGGACCCAAGATGTAGTTAATCGAGTTGGTTTTCGTACTTATATTCCCAAGACACAGGCCAGGAAATTGCTGCTGTCCCACAGAGCTTCAGTCTTTATGGGTGGGTGACAGTCCCTGGCCAGGTAAATAAAGCTCTCTTTGATTTGAACTCGGGCTTTGAGTGTTTTCTGAAGTGGCTCTTCATAATAGTGGCTTAAGAGACCACAGCCTGTTCTGCTCCATAAGTTTCCTCTTACTTTTTCTGGCAACTGTGAGTTATCTTCCATTTTGCCTATCTCTTCACAACCACTTTAGTTTTCATTTTTTCATTTTTTATTTTATTAGTTCTTTTAGTTGTATACGAGAGTAGAGTCCTTTTTGATATAATTATACAAGCATGGAATATATCTTATTCTAATTGGGACCCCAGTTATATGGATGTACATGATGGAGAGATTCACTATGGTGTATTCACATATGCACACAGAAAATTTACATCATATTCATTCCACTATCTTTCCATTTCGTATTCTCCTGCCCTTTCCTTCATTCCCCTTCGTCTAATCTACTTAACTTTATTCAAGATCCTTATTACCAACTGCACACTAATCTCACTCTCCAGCTAGAAATTCAAACCCAAGTAAATTCTATATTCTCCATGAAAGACATTTTCTTCAGTGAGTCATTTACCAGAGAATGAACACAGGGCCAGTAGTACCTCTGTCATCTATTCTCTGAGTGAACACATGCTGGGTAACGGTAGGGTTTTTACAATGTCCTTTGAATGGAAACAGTAATTGTCAGAGCAAATTAGAATTAGAGAGATCCCACATAGGCAAAAATGTATGTGGATGACATATCAAGCCATTACATCAACAAAGAAAAAAAACTCAAAGCAGCTTAAATAAAAACATGTCTCACTTCACATAATAATGGAAGGGGCTAGAAAGAGGACTGCACTGGGCCAGAGCAGCAGTTCCAGGATGCCACTCTCCAGGCACCTCACAACCTTGCATAACTGTTTAGCACAGAGGGAGCAGCTCTCCAAAGTGGGGTCCTTAAATGAGGGAGGGGAAATATTTCTCAGAAGCCCCATACCATGTACTAGACAAACACATGCCTATGCCCTACAAAATTAGAAAGAAATGAATCTGGCATTGTCAGCCACTAATATGATCGTTGCTTAATTTAATAAACCTTCCTAACTGCAGAAAGTCAGTATTGCATCTTGAGCACCAAAACTCACACTTAAGTCTTGGTAATAACTAGTTTGAGAGATGGCATTTTTTCCCATTTTATTCTAAAAACTAACCTTACCTACTTTAGGCCTACTTTTAGGATTAATGTTTATAAACATTTTCAAATCAACTGCAGGCATCAGTGGTAATCTTAATGACTACCCAGGGGGGAAAAAATATCTCAAAGCAAAAATCAAATAATAAATTTACTTGACACGAATTCGGCATTATCCTCTCTAGAACAACCCATCTACAAATTTTGGCTCTGTTTTTCTCACTAACTTTTTCAATAGTCATTAATATAAATAAAGTGGCATGACAAAGTCTACAGAGTTAATAACATGTGTTTCTACTTCCCAAGCAGAAACATGATTGGTCAGTTTGAACTTTCTATAATGTTAACCATCTGCCAAATTATTCAGAACTCTCCTAGAAAAAGCCATGATCCTCCACACACTAATTAGATGAGTCAATGCTGTAATGATCCTTTAGATAACTAATTTACTCAAGTCTGATAATTTAATTACCCAATTCTGATAAATAAATTCTAACCTTAGACCAAAATGATTAAAGGATTAAAGGTTAAAGTCAGCGAATGCAAACTGAAATAGAGCCACTATTATGAAGTCCAAAACAGTTTGTTTTTCTCTTAGAAGTTTATTATCTCAAATTCCAGAATTAAAATATATTAATATATCAAAAGGTTTTCTAAACCAGTTCTGATGTAGTATTCCTTGTACTTCTATTTAGTAAATTCATGATTGGTAGACTTAAAATTCCCTAAGAGTTGTCTTTACTGACTATTCCATACAGTTCCATCATCTCTTCTAACTCTTTTTGCACATCACATTTCACCTACTATTACATGTGTATCTGTGTGTTTCAGTTACAAGTGCGCGATGACAAGAGTAGTAGAATATCCTAGTGCCCCATCTCCTGTGCCTAAAAAGACTGCCTGACATTTGGACACTCAGTAAACATAAGAAAATGACTATCTCAAAGATGTGAACTTATAAGTAGTAAATGTATATTATTACTTATGTACTTTTGCACATACTATTGATTATGGTATGATTTCAATACCAAGAATAAAAAAAATCACAAGGAAAAACAATTGCTATTATCACCACTACCACAAGCAGCAGCCACCAGTTTAAAATTGGAATAAACAATTTAATGCTGATAATAAGGGTATGTTGTAGGTTTTCCCATTTTAAGAATGAGAAATTAAAGCTCGGAGAAGTAAAATAAGGGTCAAACAAGATAAATAAGCAGATCAAAACAACAGAGCTCTGACTCCTATACCCTTAATGCTGACCTGCAATATCTATGTGTATCATTAAGGGGCAAAAGCAATTAGTATCAGCATCTAAACAGCAGGACACAGAGCCCATCTATATAAAGAACTGGACAAAGCACAGTACTCACAGTGATTTCTACAACTGATCAGGCTACCAAAATGTGAGACATGTTTAAAAATTAAACACCACTTGAATCTTTCTTCCAAAAGAAATACCTCAGAGTCACAGACTAGTCTAGTAGATAAATGGAGTTAAAGTATAAATAACTTATGTCCTTGTAACCAGGCCTTAGGATAAAGTATTCAGTGAAAACTAGTGTGTTAAGCTGCTCTTTTCTAATTCAATTCTACTTTAAATTTAGCCATGGTCATTTTCTACTGTCTTTCACTTCTTTGTTAGTGTCCATTTTATATTTTTCATCTAATTCATTTATTTACAATTTGTATATGACTAGTCAAGTTCATTTGCTGCTCCATGAAAAGAATGCATTGATTCTCTATGCCAGTCATGGTTTCTTAGGTATTTAGTCATTATTTCTGCCCACATATTTTATGTTTCCCTGAAAAACTGGCAGCCATGTGGAGGTTCAACGCTCCTTTCAATACCTGCAGTTATAATTTGTAACAAGATAATTTTATCCTTCAAGAAGCTCACATTAAAAATATACCCATTATGTATTCTGATTTAGGTAGAATAAAATCAGCCTCATTTTCCTACAATACAAATATTATGCTTGTTTATAGGTGACATTGGAAATCAATGCCCATCTTAATTCACCAACAAGGAAAGATCTCTTACAGTAGACCACAATGTTTCTTACCAATGTAACTGGTCAAAAACATAGTTTAAAGGTGATAAGATGGGCAATATTTTTAAACAAATGTATTACACTTCATGTGCCTTTAATCATACATTCAAAAGCCCTCTGATTACAGTGGCACACACACTTCAGTACTTCATTAGACAAAGGCATTGTTTTCCACACAACATCATGTTTCAGCAATATTTTTCAACTTGACAGTTTTACTTACTGTCTTAGAAGCAGTATTAATGTACTGCATCACCATTTCTTTTTTGATACCGAAGTCTTTTTCCCGCAATGGTGCCTTTTTATCTTCATTTAAATTCATATCTTCCTGGAAAACACAATTAAAATGCCTGGTTTTAGAATCTAAATAGTGCGGCAATTCTATATACGCTATGAATGGAAAAATCAATAATTTGTGACTAAAGCAGCATTAATTGTTTTGAAATGATTTACGTGTAATTCTGCCTAGAGAAAGGAAGAGAGAGGAAAGCTGGAGAGAGAGAAGAAAGTATTCTCGATGAGTTTAACAGGTAAAATGCTTACCAGAAAATCTAAATTCACAGCAGGCTATTAAAGTTATATTCACATCACTATGGATAATTAGACAGTTGCAAATTTCTGCCTTTCCTAAGGTTATTAGGATTCACAATTTTAATTATTTTTTTACAACAGCTGTGCCTGAAGCTATCTTGTACTGTTTTGAAAGAGCTGTTGTGTACCAGAAAAATTAGAAAGTAAATAAACTTCCACTTCCCCGATTCTGAAAGCTACAAGAACACCACACAATCAAATCACTAGAACTGATTCCAGCAAATGACAAAGCATCTTATGGTTTTAATTATTTTCCCCATCTCTTTCTAAAACATTAACTAGTTTATTAACTGAAAGATCTAAAGCACATAAAAGTTACACTAAGATAAACAGGTACCACCTAAAAATCTAACATTCCTCAAGAGCACCAACCAAAATAAGCATTTAAGCATCATATATGTCCCTATGGAAGTAACTTTGACTAAAAATACAAGTCAGGCATATCCATACAAACATAAGAATTGCTATCAATTACATTGCTTAAGAGGCTCCTCTGGAAGAGCAGAAGAAAGGGAGACAGAGGTAAGAAAGAAACGACTGAAAATGAAGGGAAGCTCAAAGGGATTTCCTGCCAGCCTTAGCCCTAGGCCATATGTGATAAGCAATGTTAAGTACTTGAATATACATAACTCCATATCTACTCAGAATAGGTCCATGAAAATCAGGACTTTGGGTCATCTATTGACCAGGTTATCCAAACTTAAACTTAACAGTAAGTAAGTTTCTGCCAATTTTTATAAGTGAGCTACATTCACCGGGTACTGAAGTTTATGCCTTTATCCAATTCAGTTTTTGGCCACCAAACCTCAAGCACTTAAAATTCAAAATTCCCTTCACTTCATCTTGAGAGAAATATTTGAGATCTTAGAAATTGTTCCATTTGACACCTCAATAAAAGGTAGTAATTAGTAATTCCACTCTTGTCACTACTCCAGTTAGAAATATCCTTGAAATTAGGTGAATAATAGCTTGTTTTATTTCATTTTTTTTCTGTAAACTAATAATTCTCAATAGGCTTTACTACCACTTAGCAGTTTTAGAAATTTCTAGAGGCATTCTGATTAGAAGTGACTGAGGTGATGCTTTAAGCATTTATAGGAGCAATCCCTGCTAGATTTTCCCTGGTTTCACTCACAGAACAAAAAAGTGTTCTGCACCTACAAGAGATTCACAGACCTTTAAAAATAAGAAAGACTGTGGGGCTGGGGATGTGGCTCAAGTGGTAGCGCACTCGCCTGGCATGCGCGCAGCCCTGGGTTCGATCAAATAAAGATGTTGTGTCCGCCGAAAACTAAAAAATAAATATTAAAAAACTCTCTCTCTCTCTCTCTCTCTCTCTCTCTCTCTCTCTTAAAAAAAAAAAAGACTATGTAAATAGATATAAACTGTAAAATGGAACCAATTGTTAAATTGTAACATATTGTGTATTTTTGTATTGCCTGGTTTTAATACACCAAATTTCTCAAGAATCCAACTATTCTGTAAATTATACTTACAATTCTTTTAAGCTTTATCAATAGTTCTACTCCATTTCTGAAACATAGGTATCCCAGGCCAATACTGTTTGTGGCATCTGAATCCTCAAAACAGCACACTGTGTCAGTCTGTACTGTAGTGTTGTACTCACAGCGGTATGAACCAGAGATTCAAGAATGTTTCTTTACTTTCTTCAATAGTCAGTGCCACTTTACACTGAAATACAAACTAATTATGTAGTACAGAAAGGTGGTATATTGATTTTTTAATTATGGATGTAGGTAGCTTGTATTATATAAATAATTTCACTGGAAATATGCCAGGCATGGAAGAGACAAACACTACATGTTTTCCCTCATGTGTGGAAGCTAAAAAAGTTGATCATATAGAAAGTACAAAGCAGTGTTAACCAGAGGCTGGGAAGTGGTTGGGGGAGAGGGAAAAGAGAAGGGCTACTCAATGGGTATGAGGAGATAATAGGATTAAGTTCTAATGTTCTGTAGCACAGTGGATTGCTACAATTAATAATTTATTTTACATCATAATAACTGAAATAATTTTGAGTGTTTCCAACCCAAAGAAACAGTATTTGAGGTAAGAGATACCCTAATTACCCTAATTTGATCATTGCACATTGTATATGTGTTGGAATACCACACCATACCCCATCAGTATGTACAATTATCATGTCACAAGTAAAAATAAAAAGATCTTACTGGAAGCAAGTAATGGGGAAGCTAGGGGATAATTGTTATAAAAGGTGGGGGGAAACCTAAGAGTTCTGAGAATCTGTCATAAATTATTCACTATTAATTTCTAATTGTTAAACATAACTCAGCCTCTTTAACCAGCAAATTAAAATACTTAATAGATACAGAATACTAAAAGACATAAAAGCCCATTACCTGTGGCCAAAACTGAATTAAAATTTCAAGATGGATAGTTCAAAGAAAAAGAAAAGCAGTCACTTTCTTTTTAGAAAGATGTTTCCAGAGGACATGAGTTCATACACAGAAGGAGTCCTGATGGTTAATTTGAGGTTCATCCCTGGGATTCAGAATGCCCAGACAGCTGGTGAAGCAACATTTCTAGATGATCTCTTAAGGTGATTCCAGAAGAGATGAACATTTGAATCAATTGACTAATTAAGAAGATTCAACCTCACCCAATTGGGCAAAGCACTATCCAATCAACTAAGGGCCCAAGTAGTACAACAAGGCAGAGGAAAGGTGAATTCATTTTCTCTTCTTTAGCTGGGACACCCTTCTTCTGTCAGATTTTGAGACCTGAACCAATGTCTGCTTCACTTCTCCCCCACCCAGGTTCTCAGGCCTTTGGCCTTGGACTGAGCCACACTTCTGACTTCCCCCATTCTCCTGCTTGCAGAAGGCCTTTCAAGAAACAGTCTCCATATTCTCTCAAGTCAATTCCTTTAATGAACCTTCTCTCATGTATCACTAAGTTTGTGTATATTCTATTGCTTCATGCCTTTCTGGAGAACTCTGGCCAGTGTTTTCTTTTGGAATTAAGAAAGAGACCCGGAATTCTCCAATTGTTTTCCTCTGGCTAATGCCACCTCTCTTGCTGATATATGGCACTAATCTTTCTGACAAAACTGTGATGATAGCTTCAATGTAAATACAAAATGAAATGAAGAAATGAGGCCACAAAAAAGGAATTGACTACCCAACACCACAAACAGTCAAGGAGCACCCAGTTGGCATGGAACTGCATGCAATAGGTCATCACTCTCTGCATGTCCTTGAGGAAATGGAATGGCAAAGATAAGCTTTGCCCTTTATAAAAGGAACAAGGGAGCAATGGAGATGGGGGGAAAAACACATATTTCAAAGTATAAAAGTACAAGATTTTTAGAACAAATTATTTTCAATCTATGGAGAAGCAGGCTACAGGAAGAAAACCTCACGAGGCAATGCTAGTTAACTTCTGGAAATGGTAAAGTCCTTGGGAAATGTACTGAGAACTTTTTCCTAGAAACTTTGTGTCCATATGTTGTACGTCCAGAAGAATCAAGTATCTCCGAAGGCTATTGGACAAACTAAGCAGCAAAAGGTCAGCTGGGGAGAACAGTGAGAAAGTCTTTAATTTTCACAATTCTCAGTTTCTATTTGCTCAATTGTATCTCCATTGTCTTAGGTGAGATTCCCTAGAGGCAGAGACTGGGACAAAAACAGACAAGTGATCTGTGGAAGAGATAATCTCTAGAATAAGGTACTTTCCTGGCAACTTGGGTTTTTTTGGATCCCATGAATTTCCCCCAATACCAAAATATTTTTGATTAACAGTACCTAGCTAAACCTACACATGGATATTACCTTGCCTTTTGTCCCACTCTGATTTCTCTTCTAAAAGCTTTCCTTGCCCCTGACTCATCTTTGGAGATTAATTACAGAAAGTTCTCCTCTTGTTCCTCAGAGCCAGCATTGAATGGACCTCCTTTCCTGCCAGCCTTTCTCCAGATGGTTAGTATAGCAATGAGCAGGAAATCCCTCCCTCTATAAACAGTTAACACATTACTTATTCCCTGATAAAGATATACTGAGAAGGGTATATGATCTCTACAGTATTCTTCCCAAAATATTCCTCAATAACCATGAGAAAGGAGAAAAGAAAAATTAAAAAAAGATAAACCCAAATTGAGGACCCTTTACACAAATAACCAGGAGTGTCAAGGTCATAAAATATAAAGAACTGTCCTTGACTGGAGGTGGCAAAGGAGACATGGTGACTAAATGCAAAGTGTGGTTTGGATTGGAACCTGGAATATAAAAAGACATAACTGGAAATAAAGTCTACAATTTAGTTAGTAGTATCTATGTTTTTTTTTCTTATTTTTAATAATTGTCCTAATGTTATATAAGATGCTGATATTAGGGAAAGCCAAGTAAAGAGTATAGAAGAACTCTAAAATTGCAACGCTAAAATTATTTCAAAGTAAAAGTTTTAAAACATTAAAATAAGCCAGGCACGGGGGATGCATGCCTGTAATCCCAGTGGCTCAGTAGGCTGAGGCAAGAGGATCACAAATTCAAAGTCAGCCTCAGCAACTTACCTAGGCCTAAATGACTTGGTGAGACCCTGTGATCAAAATAAAAAAGGGCTGGGGATGTGGTTTAGTAGTTAAGCCCAGGGTTCAATCCCCAGTACTGGGTGGGTGGGGAGAAGGATGAAATTAAAATATTTTGAACAATTTTATGAATAATTTGAAAACAATAAAAATGGAACATCACTCTTTCTTTT